TTCAAAAGAATTATATATATTTACACGACATTCCGTCTCAGGTCAGTGTTAGAATTTAAAAATATGACATCAGTCATTATGCATTATGTACATGGTTTTGTTAACTTCAAACAAATGAGGACCACTTCTTAAATCCAGCATTGATAAATGTATACACATTGGTCCATCAGTCATTATGTACATTTTTTAAACTTCAAATACATGTGTGGACCACTCCTTAAATCTCACAATGATAAATGTGTGCACATTATCTGTTGGCTTTTTCATATTGTCTTATATACCGTCTTTTCTTACTATTCGCTGCCCAGTTTCTATGCACTTCCTCTTGAGTCAAAATAGATTGTTATCTCATGCTCATATTTTCATTTATTTCAGCGATACTTCAAGTCACATTTCATTCAGTGCGTGAGGACGATCAAACTACTGATGATCAGCGCTCACAAAATTTGTAGTTCTGCCTCCCAAACGACAAGCGATTGGCCCATCTACACCTAAAACACGCAAGAGAAGGGCATTGATCGCTTCAGAAACAGACGAGCAACGTGAGGTAAGACTGGAAACCATTCGAGTGCGCAATGCTGAAGCCCGTTCATCTCAATCAGACCAGCAACGGAAAGCAAGACTAGAAAACGTTCGAGTGCGCACTGCTGAAGCCAGATCGTTTCAGTCAGACGAGCAACGAGAAGCAAGACTGGAAACCAATAGAGTACGCACTGCTCAAGTCCGTTTATCAGAAACAGTCGAGCAACGGAAAGCAAGACTGGAAACCGTTCGGTTGCGCACTACTTTATCCAGGCGAACACTGCATGTTGAATTTAATCTTGGTGCATTCAACAGCAGTCTTCATCCACAAGTGCTTATTGGCAAAATGGATAAAGTGTGCGTACATTGCAGTGCCTTCAAATTTAAGAATGACATGCCGAGTATGTGCTGCGCTGGTGGAAAAGTTAAATTGCCAGTATTACATTTATCAACCGAACCATTATCATCATTGGAAGCAGGTGACACCGGCCAGTCGACACATTTCTTGGCAAACATAAGTACATTTGCAAATATGTCAACAAAGGGGTTGATATGGCAGTCTTTGGATTGGGACATGCAGCTGCATCTATCGATGCAATCAAGCAATATCAGCTGGGGCGCTACTTAGTAGCAATGAAGCGGTATGGCACATTTTGTCATTTCCAATTTATGAACGACATCCAGCAGTTGTTCATTTGGCAGTGCACTTTGACAATGGACAGCGCGTGTACTTCACTACAGAAAATGCACATGCACGAGCATTGTTACCACCGCCAACCACGTTAACTGATTTTTCTCATTGTTTAGAGATGATATGTTTGCAAAGACACTACTTTATTCTGACCTGCCAACATACTACACGTGGAATGGATCAGCTAAAAAGTGTCAACGTTGCAAGCAAGGTCAAGCGGTTGGTGGACATCCTACTTTATATTCTACTGATATTTTAGGCCGTCTGTACACTGTTCATCCCAAAAATGCAGATTGCTTTTACTTGCAATTACTTTTAATCAGCAAACGGGGACCGACATCATTCCAGAACTTGAGAACAGTTTATGGTAAAGTATGTGCTATTTACTGTGAAGCTTGCCAAGAATTAAATCTTCTTGAAAATGATGCACATTGGGACACTTGAGTGAAGACATCCTACATCGCTGGCGTGAAACGGAGCAAGATCAGGACCTTCAATTCACACCAAATGTATATAATGAGGCATTGGTTTGCATTGAGGACATATGTTTGGCAATAACTAATAAAGCACTGGTTCAGCTGGGACTGGCTCCACCAGAACGATCTGCAAACAACCTTTTCGATCGTGAGTTGCAACGAGAGACACACTTTGATGTCACCCAATTAGGTACATTTGTTTAAACAAATCTCCCAAAATTGGTTCCAGAACAACGTATAGCATATGACACAATTAGGCATGCCGTTACAAGACAACACGGAGGATTGTATTTCATAGACGCATCCGGAGGCACAGGAAAGACCTTTCTTATTTCGCTTATTTTGGCATCCATACGGTCACAAAATAATATTGCACTGGCAATTGCATCTTCTGGATTTACCGCAACTCTTTTGGATGGTGGCCGAACAGAGCATTCAGCACTGAAGTTGCCTTTAAATATGCATATCGCTAAGACACCAACATGCAATATCAACAATGATTCTGCAATGGGTAAAGTACTCAAAGTATGTCAACTCATTATATAGGACGAAGTTTTCCCTAATATAACACAGAATTACATAAATCATCAGTGTCTCAGTGAACGTGTTATCTTAGCAGCTAAAAACAAGGATGTGTATGCCATGAATCCGAACATCTAAGACAAATTACCAGGCGGAGTGACAATGAATAAGTCTATCGATACTGTAATGATTCAAGACGAGGTTGTCAATTATCCAACTGAGTTCTTTAATTCGCTTGATTTGCCAGGCATGCCACCCCATGTTTTAACCTTGAAAGTTGGCGTGACTATTATTCTTCTCAGAAACATCAATCCACCACATCTTTCCAGTGGTACCAGGCTTTCAGTGAAAAAGATGGTGCCCAATATCATCGTAAGTACAATTTTACATGAACATTTAAGGGCCAGGATAAACTATTGCAACGCAATTCTAACAGACATGCCATTCAACTTCAGATGTTTGCAGTTTCTGGTGCGACTCACCTTAGCAATGACCATCAACAAATCACAGGGACAATCAGAACAATTGTGTGGACTACATTTGGAACATCCATGCTTTTCACATGGACAGCCATATGTGGCCTGTTCAAGCGTCGGAAAACCTACTGATTTATTCGTGTACGCTCTAGGCGGAAAAACTAAGAAAAATTACATTTTAAATTGCCTGTTTTTTCCTAAGGATTTGTAAACAGCACAATGATCCAATATAAATACTACATATTGTTATATCGACTTTCCTATTAATTGAATTTCTATTAGAGGCGTAGCAACGCGCGCTTGGTACAGTTTACCATAGCAATAATTTCGTAATTATTGTGTACGTTTCCTCTTTTCATAGCTTTTCACTTGGGTAATTTTTCCGACTACTTCGATGTACGAAGCAAGATTTCTATTTTCTGTCTTTTCAATTCAGCCAAACTATGCCACAGCAACGCGTGGCCGTGTACAGCTAGTATTCAATAAAGTATACAAGCAGAGCATACTTTCACGCTTGGAATATGGGTCAACTGCATGATGTTCAGCATCTAGTACCACATTAAAGGAGTTGGACAAAGTGCAAAAGCAAACGCTCAGAGTCATCACAGGAGATATGAAATCAACCCCCACATTAGAAATGGAGAAAGCTGGGAAAACACAGGCACTGAGAAAACGCAGAGATACAAAGTTGCATACAAGCTGAAAAGTTCCTTAGTATGCCAGACCATCCGATGGAAAATAGATTTAAGAACCTAGCCTTGGGACGGTTAAAAAGAAACAGCTTTATACACCAAGCAAAAAGAATATGTAGACAAAACTCCTGACCTTCCAGAAATTGGTTGCACACTTAAAAGTATTCCGGAACAAACCCCATGGAGAGAAAAATGTAAACTAACGGGACAAATCCAGACAAATGTGAATGGGATATTTGACAAGAAAAAGCAAGATAGTGTACAACGCAAAATGGCCACCCTCAGTTATATTGATGAAGAATACCCACAAGAACAATGGGTCAGAGTCTATACAGATGGGTCCGCAGAAAGTGCAGTTAGAAATGGTGGTGCTGGAGTGTACATCGAATTCCCAGATGGTACTAGGGATAAGTCCAGCGTACAAACCGGGAAGTACTGCCATAACTATGAAGCAAAAACTCAAGCTATCAAGATAGGAACAGAGAAACTGCTAAATACCAATCTTGGCTCACAGTATGTAGTAATGCTGACAGATGCTAAATCGGTACTTGAAGCACTCCAGTCTAGGAAACTACCAGAATTGCAAACACTGCTGACACAACTCAGCCTTCAGCGAAGAGTCGTAATGAAATGGATACCATCTCATTGTTGAGTGCCTGGAAATGAGAAAGCTGATCAACTGGCAGGGAAAGGTGCGACAAAAGAGCAGCCGGATGTACCGGTCACATACCACCAAAAGAAAAGAATCATTAAATCGATCAGGAAACCACTAGCCCCAGCACAAGACGACTATTTTATTATGGACAGACCAGAACAAGTCATTATCCTCCGCCTCAGAGCAGGGCACAACCGATTACGTAACCACATGTACACAAAATTCAGGATAGGTGTATCAGCCCTGTGCACCTGTGGAAATGTGCCCCAGACAGCAGAGCATGTACTCCAGGACTGCACCGAAATTGACACATTGGGGCAAACCTTTTGGCCAGAAAGAACAACAGTGGAACGTAAACTGTATGGACCACTGAATGAACTAACAACGACAGTGAAATTTATACAAGAGACAAAACTGCCAATATAGACAACTTATTTCAGGCGAACGAAAGAAGAAGAAAAAGAAGTGGGAAACTAAAGGCTGTATAGCCACCAACTTAGTGCCAGTTAGTAACCCATAAGGGCTCCGTTCTTTTTTTATAACTCAAGTCCGAAGAAGCTCAGCATAGTGCACATGCTCTGTAGCACCAGCGAGGATCCTGAAATACTTTAGGAAGATTTTTAACTCCAAATTCTTGCCCGTGCAGCGCAGTTAGACTACTCTTTTCGATTTCTAACTGCCAAGGGATTTTTTTGTTTACGTGCGCAACAATGCACACGGGCGTCCGATCTCACTACCCAGAGACCAGGAACCTCTAGCACTCGAGGCGGACACCATACCTCGAGACCACACAGCCAGCCCCCTCCCCCCAGGTCTGTTTAAAAAAAGGAGTCTAGTTTCATATGTGCGATTGGCCACTGTAATAAAAACGAGGGGGGGGAAAGGGGGGGGGGGGGTATAGACTGTTTACACCACACATTAGTTTTAGCTGTTTCAGAACAAAAAGTCCTCTTTATGTTGCTACAGATCCCTGTCATACGCTTGATCTATGCCTGTTTTGGAGCCTTAATAATGAGTGTGGTAAGTAGGGCATATTTTTATGATACTTAACATTTTTTTTTTACAGTTTCATCGAGGAGCCTCTGGGAAAGAAGTAGATAGCAAGCTTGCATATCTACCGCCCGTTAACAAGCATGCCGTAAGAGTAAACTAATCAGACATATTTTCTTCGAATTCGGAGCAACCAACAGTCTGCATAAAAAACACAGATCTGTAAAACGAATATGCAGGCAAAACTCAGGTTCTGGAAACAACAATAAAGTCCAGAAGTTGATGAACTACCAAAACTTTCTGCAGGAGTTTACAGCCTGCGCAAGCTAAGCAAAACAAGAAGAAGAGAACAGAAACTGTATAAACACTCACACATATACACACACATACACACACTCCTCTGTATATAATTGGTGAGGTAGGCAGCACATTCCCATAAAACATTATGGGAAGGGCTAAGATCCCGTCTCCCTACCGAAGTGGGTTTGTTTGTGTGCGTATGTGTGTGAAGTGGGTGGGGGGGATCAAGGTGCCTAAACTCCCTCATTCCCACGACCCTTGTTGATACTGTATTGTTGCTAATGCTTCTGTTAGTTGTTTATTTACGTTGTTGCTGCTGCAGTTGTCGTTGCTTCTTCTGGTGTTGTTACTGAGGAGGTTGCTGTAGCGCTATTTCGACAGTCCTTTTTTTTTATCGGAATAAGCTTGACTTTTGCCGACTTTGTCTGAGTCCACACACAGATGAGAAACAGAATAGAAATGTCTAGAGAAATGCAGTTCACGGTAGATAAGGTCTGTGAGTGGTGTGAGGAAACCGGCTCGGTCATCAACCCAGATAAGACGATGGTATTGTGTTCTTTAAATAATAGAATTATTAGAACTGTGTTGCCCGACATGACAATAAACGGCAGGGACATAAAGAAATATAATCCACTAAATGATCTAGGAATTACGTTAACAGGAGACTGTCTTTCAGGTGCAACGTGGAAGCGGTAGTTTTAAAGATAAGACTTAATGCTCCGCTGATGATGATGGCATCAGCGCACATGGAGCAGACTGTCTTCTATACACTCTATCAGCAACTGATAATTTCTGTCATCAAGTATGGTTTGGGACTGCTAACAATATCGCATACCCAAATAGAGAAGCTGGAAAGCATACAAAATGAAGCCATGCGAGTCATTTTGGGGTGCGCACGAGACACGCCAATTATGTGCATGCGGCACATATTTGCATAACCATCAGTATGAGAGTTACAAGGTTTTACAGGCGAAAATGTACCTTAAAGTCGTAACGGACAGGGAACACCTTCTGTATAAGGTATTGGGGGATAGCAAGAGACAGCGGCTGAAAAGAAGTGGCTCCTGGATGTCACAGGCAGAAGTCACGATCAGTACGGTTTGTGATTTACTGACAAGATAGCGCCTGGTAAACAATAGGTTACAGTGCCGCCCAGCAAAACGGACTTGCACAGAGTGATAGTTACCTTGGATCGACGGTGCCGGGAATGAATAGCTGGTGAAACAGTGAGTCAGTGGTGCAAAAGCTGATCAACGAAAATGCACGCCCAAATGACATCATAATATATACATACGGGCCTTTGTTTAGAGGTAAAAATAGTAGGTGGGATTTTTTACAAATACGAATGGATACTGCTTGAAAACAGAGAGCCTGGTGTTCAACGTCACTATATCCAATATGAGAACGGAGGTGGGGGCAGTAACGGCAGTATTCCGATGGCTTGAGAAAATCACAACACGACATGCTGCGTTAAAGACTCAACAGAGCATGCTTCGGAAAATTGAAACTGTGTCCTGCCATCACCTTATAAGATCCAGATCAAGAGCATATCGTGGATTGTCTGTCTAGTTCATTCAAGTGTGCGAGGTAACGAGCAGGCTGAAAGATTAGCTGCTGCGTCCTTCTAGACAGTGAGTTACTAACATACTAGTTATATAGTTACTATTTGATAAAGCAGATGTAGTGACAGCTCTATGGACTCAAATGGACAGTGCAAAAGAAGACCTAGGGAATCAAAACACTGAAAGACTAATTCAACTGGGGCTGATTAGAGGTTCTGGGAGATATTCAACCTTGAAGGGGAAACAGAGACAGGCTTTGACTTAGGTTGTAACTGGTGCTAATAGGATGTCAACTCTTCGTTGGTTATCAAAGAAGGAGACAGAGCACGTGTGGGAATGTCCCGAGTGCAGTGATGTCAGTTCTTGATTCATTCATTTTTTTTTTTTGTTTTGTTGTTGTTGTTGTTGCTGTAGCGGTTTTGCTGGTACTTCTGCTTTCGATATACTTATGTTGTCGCTACTACTGCTTCAACTATTGTGATTGAGAATACCGCTGTTGCTGCCTATATGTTTTCGTTTATTATATTGGTTTTGTTACTACATCTGTTGCTGTATTATGAGCGTACGATAATACCGTTAAATAGATAACGGTAAACCTGTTGAGATCAGGCGTATTTCCTTGTCATTATACGTATGTAAAATCTGGACCATTTTCTTGGCGCTAAAGAGTATTGAATGTTGAATTAAGAATCGACAACATAGCACTCCGTCCCCATCTTCGGCAGAAAGCGAAATGTTCCATTTCCGATGGTACCAGTAACTGTCTGATTGTACATCTGTCTCGCCTTTTCCCTGAGTGTTGAGCGTCGGCTAGATAACCTGGTAACTCCTCGCAGCGCCATTCTCTTCAGGCCGTAATGATGTAACTGTGCTTCTGCACTGTTCACTCGCTCCCGAAGGACCCTCACAACAATTAGCTTGTCATGCATCAATTCACCACAAAATAATGCAGAACTTGCCTGTCTGCCTGCTTGTTTCCCTACACACCAGCATAACCAAGAGAAAATATCAAAATGACGTTTCAACTCCCCGGGACCTCTGAACCGATGCTTGACACTCTGTACGGAGCATGCCTGTCTCCACTTTTCTAAAAAATACTCTGTGAGTCAGTTACAGTTACATATTGTGTGTACAGCTGATTCTCAATCCATCGGTAGTCAGCAGTGACCGCCTCCACCTACATTCTTAAACTAGACGTTGTGATATCATGTGACATGTTTTTGGGGTTTTTTTTCCCCACTAAGTGACGTCCATTCGCTTTAGCTATGAACTCCCATGCACTTCGTCTACCCCTAAACACAGAACCATTTGTATACATAATGACATCACCTGAGTGGGGATTGTCATGAATCATTTGTTGAACTGATTCTGCAGTACCAACTGGCCAGTACCTGCACTTACGACCTAAAGTGATTAGAACCCCACTCAAGCCTGATTCTTGCTAGGATACTTTGACCCACTCCTCTCCTCGCCCAAATATATCAAGCCTGCGCGCATGTCTAATTGTGTCCTCTGCTTGCTCTATCCAAAACCTTTTGTGTCTTCAGCTTGTGCAATCTTTTCAGTCTGTGACCCTTAGATTTACCTAGGGTTTCATGCAGAAGGGGCTTCTTGCCTACATCTACTCTGAGACATGACTAAGCTTGCAAAACTTTGAGCCTATCTGCAGTAGTAAGTAGGCAGTAAAAGTATATATCGCAGACATACTACCGGGTTGTCTCTTGTATATCCCAGAATTACTCGCATAGCTTCATTTTGTATGCGTTCAAGTTTCATTAGCTCACTCTTTGATATGGTAAGCATTCCAAGACTATAATCTATCACTGACAGGATCACATGCTGCAACATTGTGAACAGCATTCTATGTTCCATGTCCATTGCTGCCCTAATCTTGAGAGCATTGAGTCATTTTTGGCATTTAACCGCAACTGCCTCCACATGATCCCTGAAGGACAGACTTCTATCGAAAATGATACTCAGGTACCTCAGTTGGCTTTATCTTGTAATGTTTCTGTCATTAAGTGTGAGGCTAGGAACATTAGCTCTTACAATTCTATTGTCCTGAGAGCACCATAAAATAACCGCCTTTTCTGAGTTGATGACAGCACCACTCTCTACATACCAGTCAGTCATTTTGTTTACCCTTGCCTGTTGCTCTTGGGCTGTCTGTTGCCTATCATTTCCCTGCCTATATGCTAGAATATCAACTGCAAATGTCAATATCTTTCCAACACCTGGTGCTTCAGGTTCTGCAATCATGCTTGCATACGCGTTGAAGAGCACCTGTGAAATTGCAGAACCCTGGGGTAGTCCCGGGGCTATGTTACATGGTTCTGATGTCCGATTACCCAGACGTTAGGCAACCATGGTTGAATGCAGGACCTCCGCTAGCCAGTTCACCAGCCAGCGACACACTCCCTTCTCCAAGTGCGCAGATATCAAACTATCATATCTGACTCTGTTGTAGGCATCCTCAAGATCAAACGCTAAAGATGAAAGGGTTTGGTGCTGACCCCCTCATCAACCAAGTGCCGATTAATCTAAAAATATAGGTCTAGTCCTGTATGTCCAAAACGAAGGTGTTGAAAAGGGTCCTTTTTTTAACGTTTGAAATAAAAAAGCTGAATAGTACGGCTTTGGGATTGACAAAGCCGTGTTAAAACTGGACGTGTTTTTTTTTTTTTTTGGGTGCACTTTAAAGGTACTATGTGTTCATGTGCGTGTGCGTATGTCGGTTATTATTTTTTATTATTCTCCTAGTGCGTGTGTATGTGTGTGTGTAATTATGTGGAAGTGACGGAGACTTGGTTTTATATACGAACGGTGGTGACACCATGGATTGCTAAAAAGAACAATGAAAGAAACTGACTGACGAAGAGAAGCGGTTTCCCTCATCAGAAGTGCACAATATAAATTCGCTGGTCATGTCACTAAAGACAAAATAGACTGGAGTTCCTCGTGAAAGTGGGAGATTTGTAAGGGGAAAGTAGGCAGAGGAAGACCGAGAGAGAAGATGCTGGACAAATTGACATCATGACATAAGAAGATTCCCGTTTCACAATAGATAGTACAAGAGGAGAAGGTTGCCGACAGATACGTCTATCAACGCCACACGGCATGAACGTGTGTGTGTGTGTGTTGGTGGGTGGGGGAGGGGCGTCTTTATTGGAAATAGTAATGTTAGAGTAAATAACCCTATCTCCCTGCTTGATTACAGTATATTGTAATAGACACACAAACACTCTTGTCCGGCAAGCGGTATTCCTTGGACACTGAGATGTACATCTTTGGAGCCATCAGTCTCTTCGTGGACATCCTGCTACTCTTCATGTACATCCTGCAGATTCTGGATTACAGCAAATAATCCCCATGTAGGTAAAGCGCTGGCTGCTGACGATATGATCATTGCTTGTTGTGTGTGTGTCTGTGGATCCATGCGCATGTCTTTCCCTGTGTGTGTGTCTTTCCCTGTGTGTGTTTGCGTGCATGTGTGTGTGGGTTTCTATGTGTGTTTGTGTTTATACCCGTAACTGTATCTATGTGTTTGGGTCTCTGTGAGTCATTTTGTATTTATTTATGTATCTGCAGGTGTGTGTTTCTCCGTTTGTGTCTCAGTGTATGCATGCGCGTCTGTGTTTAATTATGTGTGTCTGTGTATGTCTGTCTCTTCCTGTATGTGTAGGTGTATATTTGTGTACGTGTGTCCATCTGTAGTGTATATCTGCGTGTGCGTTTGTATACCTCTGTAAATGCGAGTGTATCTTTATGTGTGAGATTTGGGTGAGGGAATGGGTGGCTGTGCTTCCAGGTTGACTTAGCCTAAAGTATGTGCCTGGAAATTTAAGGAGAAGTAACCGCCCTTTCTCTGGGAACTTGAGAACTCTAAACGATCCATGAGGAAAAAGATGATATGTGACTGTGAAGTGCTTCCACAGACCTCAAACTCTTCACAGCATTCATGCAGACACTAGACTTCCAAGGCAGTAGGTCTACTGAGGGGCTCAGGTCCCTTATGATTATCTAGTGACGGAAGGTTTCCAAGAAGCTTCTGTCTTGTTTAGGTCGGCAATAATAATAATGTGCTGAATGGCGAATACATATAATAATATATTTGAAGTATTATGAAATGCATTAACAAATACATAATGAAAAGATAACGCCAATACATCGTTATAGACATCGATTAGCTCCCTTGCAAATTATCTCGGGGCATTAGCCAGGAATCTTAGTCACTCTAAAAAATTACTGGAATAAAATGGGAATTAGGAATCCAGAACCCCCAGGTTCCAGCGCCCCAAATTCCAGCCCTCTAGGTTCCAGCGCCCCAGCCTTCAGCGCTCTTTAGTTCCAGATTCCAGCGCCCCAAGTTCCAGTGCCGTCTGGTTCCAGCGCCGGTAGGTTCCAGCGCCCCAGACTACAGTGCTTCTTGCTTTCTTTCAGCGCCCCCAAGTTACATCAGCACAGATTTCAGCGCTCCAGGTTCTGGTGCCCCCAAGTTCCAGCACCCCATGTTTACAGCTTCACAGGTTCGAGCGCCCTCAAGTTCCAGTACCCCCATGTGGCTTTGCTGTTGAGAAAGAGAAGACAATTTGATATTTATTGTCGTTTACTGTTTTGTAGAGCGGCTTGTGATGCTGATACGGGCTCCGTCCATGATATCCAAAGGATTTTACAGGATGGAACGGAACGGAAAACTAAAGTGAGAGACCTATGTGACGTATACCGGCAGGATATGATGACTGTCTAATTGTTAATGTAATAGCTTTGTCCCCACGCGTGATGTAATATTTAGTTATTTTAAAGCTTCACCCTGGCTTTTGTCGGGGGCTGCAATATAGCCGAGCCTTAAATATGAAATAACGGCTGAACGGGGTTTTGGGGACCTCTCCAGAGGTGATCCTCATCCACACAGTGGCGCTTTGTTTTACCGGGTGTTGATCGCTTGTGTGATGTCCTGGTTTGGTACAACTTATCTACCTTACTGTTAATGCGATTACAGATATTTAAAACGACAGATACTAACTACAGTATTCTATATTCGACTCTCTTTGCTACAGTGTTGGTTGAACAGTACATAAGATAAATAACGTCCGTCTTTTTCTTCTTCTTCTTTTTTTAATATTTCGGGAGTCGAAGAAGATATAACATTATGCTTGTTGCTCTTCTGGCCGCCTTGACCGTAGACAAATCATATTGTTGTAGAGTTTTTGTAACATTATATGTTCATCCTGTTCTTGGTTTACTTTGTGCTCTATGTCATTCTCCTCTTTTGTCTTATGCATTGAATGGTGTGCTTCTTTTTCTCGTTTGTGGTCACCGGCTGTAAACTCAGAAATTTCTGGCTGGTCATCAACTTCTTAACTTCGGCTTTTTTCCATGACTTGAGTTTTGCCTGCGCATCAATTTTATATGTCTGGTTTATATGTATACAGACTGTTGGTTTTTAGTCTCTCATGCAGATGCACCCGACTTCGAAAGATAGACCTCTGATTAATTGCTTTTTACAACATGCTCGTTGGGAAGCAGTGGATCTATTCTCTTCTCCCAAATTGGGATCCCGGAACCCACACGGGGAACAATGCATTTTCTCTTTACGTGAGCAAATCATATGATT